AATGGGTTGGGTTTGGGTTTAGGTAAACCCGCCCCATGGGTACCCGCCCACACATATAATTACTTTCCCGGTATATTTAATATTATAAATAATATAATTTTCCTGCACAACTAATATTCTTTATGATTGTGGAGACATGTATAATTTGTTCTTTCTAATTGTTTAGAATGAAGTTGGTATTATGGAGTGGAGAGTGAAGAAACTTATTTGATGAGGAAGAAGCTTTCAATTAATCTTGTTGTTTATAGATATTTATCTTTAAGTTTGAACAATTTGTATTGATCATTTGCGGTTTGCTTGTATGCTCTAGATTGGTGTTTTTTATATACATAATTTGTATGAGAAGATTGATGTTAAACTTTTATTTTGAAAGAAACTTGTTATTGTAAATTTTTTACCATAAAAACACACGGGTACCCATGAACCCGCAGATACCCAGCGGGTTGGGTTTGAGTTTTTCAAACCCAGCGGGTTTTACCCCGGGTTTTTTTGGCGAATAAACCCATGGGCTTGGGTTTGGGTTTGACAAAACCCGCCCCAACCCGACCCATTGTCATCCATACTCTACAGGGATCAGGTAAACACTCTCCATGGCTTTTAGACTCTGCCTGCTTCAATCACATGACCTCTAACGCAAAGAGTCTTGAGCATCTTGTTCCCGTAAAAACATGGCGTTGCAAGTGGCTAATGGCGAGAAATTACGTGTTAATGGGGTTGGTTCTATCACCGATCCACATATATCTTCATCCCATACTCTCCATGTCCCTGCTCTTGTCCCTAACTTAGTCTCTGTTGGCCAACTCACTGATAACGGCTGTTCTGTGTTGTTTGCACCGTCTGGATGTGTTATACAGGATTTGAAGACGGGGAGGCAGATCGGAAGGGGGATTAAACGAGGGAGAGTCTTTCACCTGGAGGAGCTTCGTGACACATCAGTTTCGTCTATCGTCAGTAGTCATTTCCGTAGGCCTGTCATTAGTTCTATTCCGTCTTTGTTGTCTGCACCTTTCAGTTTTTTGAGTCAACCTGACATTGTGTAGAGTCTTTGGCATTCTCGGTTAGGTCATCCTAATAATGATCGTCTTGCTATGATGTTTCGACAGTCGTTGCTTGGTAAAAATACTGTTTATTTGTCGGCCAAACATTATTGTACTAGTTGTGTTGAAGCGAAAACTGCTAGTATATCTTTTCCACCCAGTAATACTGTCATTAGTGAACCATTTCATATCATTCACACTGATCTGTGGGGCCCTGCTCCCGTTCTTTCTCGTTGTGGATATAGATATTTTGCTCTGTTCATAGATCATGCTACACGTTTTACTTGGGTCTATTTTCTGCGATTGAAGTCTGAGCTTCATTCTATCGCTATTGAATTCTTAAATATGATTCAGATTCAGTTTGATCGTCCAGTAAAAATTATCAGATCGGATCCCGGAGGAGAATTTAGTTCTATTCCTTTACATGATGTCTATCGTTCCATGGGGGTTTTAAGTCAAATGTCATGTTCGGGCATTTCTCAACAAAACAGTCTTGTAGAACGTAAAAATCATCATGTTGTAGAACTTATGCGTGCTCTCTTGTTAGATTCCCGGGTTCCTAGTAGTTTTTGGCCTGAAGCAGTAGCTACTGCAGTTTGCCTGATCAACTATCAAATCACTCCTGTTCTACGTCATACCAGTCCCTACTTTGCTCTATATGCTCGTCATCCTGATTATTCGCGTCTTCGAGTCTTTGGTTGTTTGTGCTTTGTTCTTCTGCCTAAACGTGAACGTACTAAACTCTCCTCTAAGACAGCTAGATGTGTTTTTGTGGGTTACAGTGATGTGCACAAGGGTTACCTTTGTTACGATCCTGCTTTACAGCGTATGCGCATTGCAACCACTGTTGTGCTCTTTGAGCATGTCATGTATCATTTCATTGAGTCCTCTTCTTCCTGTGTTCCGTTCCCTGGTACCTCATTGCCTGTCTTTGATGATCTTGATGGTGATGCCCCTGTTCTCCCTCCCGACGAACCTTTTGACTCTCCTTCCCATCACGGTCTGTCTCCCCCCAATCCCCCGTCTCCGCTCACGACCAGCTCCTCTTCGGCCAGCAGCTCACATGGTTCCATATTATTCCCAGACAGCTCTTCTAGTTCTGCTGCTTCTTCTCCTGAGCACCCGCCTTCGCCCCCACCTGCTGCTCCTTGGCGGTCTCTTCGTGCCACCAAGAGCGTCCCGCTGCCCCGATTCTAGGAGATACACAGCTCACGGGGTTCAGGCAATTTCTGTTCCTACCCGTTTTAAACAAGCTCAGGATGATCGGGTCTGGGATCACGGTATGAAACGCGAGTTGGAGGCTCTTCATGCAAACAACACCTAGACTTTGGTTCCTCGTCCACCACCTTCGACCTCGGTTGTTGGGTGTCGCTGGGTTTACACGATTAAGATGAATCTGAATGGGACAGTTGATCGTTACAAAGCACACTTGGTTGCTCAAAGCTTTACACAAGAATTCGGGCTTGACAATAATGAAACCTTCGCCCTTGTTGCCAAGATGTCTACTGTTCGCACGTTGCTTGTTGTTGCTGCTCAACAGAATTGGCCACTTTATCAGATGGACGTTAAAAATGTTTTTCTGCATGGTGATTTGGATGAGGTTATTTATATGAAACGTCCTCCTGGTTATACTGAGGGTACTTCTGATCAGGTTTGTCGGTTAAATCTCTCCTTATGGTATTAAGCAGGCCCCCCCCGGGCTTGGTTCGAAAAATTTCAGTCTACTATTACTGCTCTGGGCTTTCGGCAAAGCTTGAATGATCCATCCTTGTTCACTCGTTCTACCTCAGTCGGGATTGTTGCTTTGCTTCTCTATGTTGATGATATGATCATTACTGGTACTAACTCTGCATGCATTCAGCGTCTTAAGGAGGGTCTTCATGCTTCTTTTGATCTGAAAGACCTGGGTGACCTCTCTTATTTCCTTGGTCTTGAAGTTCATCGCACCTCCAAGGGTCTTTTACTGAGTCAACGGAAGTACATTACTGACCTTCTAGAGGATCATCATTTCGCCGATTGCAAGCCAGTGACTACACCGATGGAACTTAATTTGAAGCTTGGTCGTGACTCTGGGTCGCAGCCAGTTGATGGATCTACTTATCACAGCATTGTGGGTAGTCTTATTTATTTGTCTGCCACGTGTCCCGATATTTCCTATGTTGTTCAGCTTGTCAGCCAGTTCATGTCTGCTCCTCGTACTGATCATCTTGCTGCCATTCATCGTATTCTTCGGTATCTTCAGGGTACTCGTGATGTTGGTATGTTCTTTCCTGCTCATGGATCTGCTGGTTTACGTGCCTATTCTGATTCAGACTTTGCTGGCTGTATCGACACCCGTCGTTCTACTTCTGGTTGGTGTGTTCAGTATGGCGGTGCTTTCATCTCCTGGCGGTGTAAGAAGCAGGACAAGGTGTCCAAGTCTTCTACTGAGGCCGAGTACCGCGCTATGTCTGAGGTTGCTTCTGAGCTAGTTTGGCTTCGCCGTCTCCTGGCGGATTTGGGCATGGAGTGTGTTGTTCCTATCGATCTTTTTATTGATAATACCAATGCTATTCGGATCGCTGTTAATCTGGTTCTTCACGATAGGAGGAAGCACATTGAGATTCATGTCCATTATATTCGTGATTTGGTCCGAGATGGCACGATTTCTCTTCATTACATTCGGACTGAGGAACAGGTAGCTGACCTCCTGACTAAGGCATTTCCCTCGAGTCGACACTGGTATCTATCTAGCAAATTGATGCTCTCTACTCCGCATCAATTTGGGAGAGGCTGTTAGACGAGTGTAGCTCGTTTTTGCTTTTCTTTTTGTTGATGTGACTTGAGTCGGACTATCAGCCGCTACGACTGGTATTCGGGGGTCTCGCTGGAGAAGTAGTGAAACTGGCTCTCTCTCGCCCGTGGACTAGCTAACACACATCGTGTTAGTGAACCACGTAAATTGTGTGTCTGTGATTTTCGATTCTCGCTTTCGTATTCTTGCTTTATCGATTCTGGCGATTTCCCGATCCGTAGCAGCGCGTTTTTAACACTTTTGTTGTACATATTGTATCGGGCCATATGTATATTGGGCGGATGATGATTGGGCTTAGGTTAGACCCATGCAACCCATGCAAGGAGAGGAGACATACGTGTAGATGCCCCTTCTATGGTTCGGTTGGCTGAATACTCTTGAGGAGTATATTTACTTTGTTTTGGGCGGCAGTAGTGAGATAGAACACAACTGTAAACTCTGATCAGTCTAGTGAATTGGTGCTCGAAGAGTTCTAAACTCTTCCGTGGATTAGTCCTGGAATTCCAGGAATACCACATAAATCGGTCTGTCTATTACTTTATGTTCATCGTCTGTGATTGCGTTAGAGTCTAACACAGCTAACTACCATCGATCACTAAATCAACAGTACTGATTGATACTAAATCATCACCAAATCAACAGTTCCAAGTTTCCAGGGGACAATACACAAGCAGTAACTTGAGATGCAAACGGCAGCATTTCTGAAGTTCATAATGTGATCAACAAACCAAGAAAACGCAAACTACTACTCCGTAGACTATACTGTTTGTGCGCGACCCGCCGGGCCTCGGGCAATGGCTGTAACATGACATTACAAGGGTTTTTCTATGACCTTATTAATTAGTAATACGAATCAGACTTCTACCATTACAAGGGTTTCCTATGATCGTTTAATTAGTAATACGAATTAGACGCTTGGCGTCGCCTTTCTACCAAATAAAAAGACAAGACTGTTTGTAAACATATATTCTTCTTCGATGCTGATTCGAAAGTCGTATTCAGCGGTAGGTAGTCTGAATGAATGAACGTGGCTTGTTAATTTCTCCATTTTGTTTCGGAGAATCAAATTATATTAGAGAGTAATGTTGGTTGTGGCCTGTGGGTTGTTTCACGTCGACTTCACAGTTCCAAATATACATGCATTACCCTAATCGGGGAGAGCCAGCCTTAAAGAAGACGAGAGGAATCTGTCCAAGGCCAGAAAAGCCAAACCCTTTAATTAAACCGTGTTTTCGTCCGTCGGTCGGTGTAGCCTTTTTCCCGTTTTACAGTCTCCCCTTTACGCTTTTACTATCTCTGTTCTACATACCCTTTTGCTGCCCAGCTTTGTCCTTGCCCTGTGTAAGAATGGAATGGAATGGCGCACTAACTAACTGAGAGATCGATAATGGAAATGAGAGGGAATCTGTAAGGCAGCTTATTGCGATTGCGATTGCGATTGCTTTGCTTAGCCAGGACGAGAGGAGAGTCTCTTTCGTTGGCCATTTACTTCGAGATAATTAATTATTAAGCTTGCATGTGCTCTCTACTATCTATATTAAGCTCTCCGACGGAACTCCTAAACCGTCATCTGATCATTTAACCACAACAACACTTCATTCTTTCTTTCCTCTCTCTCACGGACGTCTTCTTCTTCTTCCTCTTCGTTCTGTTCGTCCAAAGACATTTACAAGGTGATCAGGCGGCGTATTCGCAGCTTGCTTAATTTGCGCGCATTCATTTTGTTGCAGTATTTTGTTAAGCTTTCGTTATACTAGAAGAGAGTCTTTTAATCAAGGAGACGCCATTATTAATTAAGCTGTGTTGTTTTTTATTTTTATTTGTTGCAGTAACGTAAGTGGTTGTGTTTCTCTCCTTAATTTTCTTCCTCGGGAGCAAGGCTAAGCTAGCTGTTGAAGCTCTATAGAAGGTCGGCCGGCCCCCGGAGCCTTGATTTTGTCCGTCCAAAGACTTTACAAGGTGATCAGGCGGCTTATCGGCAGCTTTTCATGCATTTTTCATAGTTAAGCTCGAGGTACGTAACGAAAGCTATCGGTAATACTTAACGGAGATGGTTTTAATTAATTAAGGAGACGCCATTAATGACGCCGGCGTGCTTAATGTTTTTGGCAGCAACTGGATTTTCTTGGGAGCTATCTAGCGAGCTGTTGAATCTCTGACTCTGTAGAAGATCCTCCTCGATCTGCGGCCGCCGGTGTAATATCTCTGAGCATTGGATTCAGGTATATATTTGCGGCCATCTCTTTTGTTCTGTGGCTTGCATGTATATATAGCGAAATGTCCATTAATTCTAACTCGCTACCGTACTGATTTACAGCTGCTTGCGAACTTAAAATGGCAAGGGTTGTAAGATTTCGAGATGAGGTCGAGATTATACCGCCGTCGTCCTCGTCCTGTTTCCCGGCCGCCGCCTGCAACCTGCTGAAAATGGCCGGTACGTGACTCCACATTTTTTTTTATACTACTACAGCTACAATGTTCTTAAAACTGCATGTCTAGTTATTTTCCTCGTAAATTGTTTACTTTTTTTTTCCTTTCATAATATTAACACGAAAAATATAGGGTCTATATGTATTCTGCCTCATATTTACGGTTTGTATTAATGATTAACCTCGGTACTGAAAGTGTCTGACTATATATACGTAATGTTCTTATTTCGAAAGAGGCCGGCCGGGTTAAAAAGCTAGCTGAAATTCATGGTTGATGATAATTTATTCTTATTTTTTTTTACCATGTACCCAAATTAAACATAATTTATAGTTTAAATATGACACGTTTGACGTATGATTCTTGATCTTCCCTCAATAATTAGAATCCCAAATTAGGATTAGTTGTGTGGTTAACCAAAACTCGGTTATGGGTGACATAGTTTTGCAACAGTATGGTTGTAATGCTTCCTTTTTTTTCCGTTTGAACGAGTATGGTTATAGCCACAGTTCGATTACGGCTTACATAGTTTTGCAACACGAATATGGTTAATTATGGTTATTTTTTCCTCTAGTTAACAGTATATTTGTGTTTGTATATAACCAACGTCGCTCCAAATCCAATTTGTAACCACGTAATTTCGATCTCATTCGACATTTTACTGCAAGTAAATTGAGACCAAATCATGTCAAGGATTGAGAGAATTCATAAAATCAAGAAACTAGCTAGGATGAGAAATCTCAATGACGGCGGAGGAATATAACGAACCAGAAACCTCCGATGTGGGCAATACTTAACCAATTGTTAATAATTAACGTATACCGGTATTAGAAAAATCTCAATAAAAAAATCCCAAGAAACGTTTTTAAACTTAATTAAGACTATTTGTCACGTTTCGCCCAATAGGTCAGGTCAAAGTTAGTTTGGTACTTGTGCACACTACTCTCTTCCTGAACTCGATTATGTGACGTTGTTTGTATTTTCCGGCCAGGAAACAAAATTACCGGCGCCGTCACACACCTCTTTCACGGCGCCGCTCACTGCGTGCACTCAGTGGCCACCTTTAGCGGCAACGTTTGGTGGGATTTCAAGACCGTGATTCGGCCGTCGCCGATGAGCTCGCTCGCCTGGGCAGCCTCCTTCCCCTTTTTCCTCTACGGATACGGTAATAATAATCAGATCAAGAAGTTAATTAATTGTCATCAGTTTTAATTACTCCCATACTTGGTTCGTGAATGATTACTGATATGAATAAACTTTTTTTTTTTTTGCAGACGTGGCGATTCAGGAGTCGGGGACTTCGATTTTGGGCGATCTCCGCCTCAGCCAGACCGATGTGACCGTCTACCTGACGTGCACCGGGAGAGCGGCGTACGGGGTTGGTGCTTTCGCGGCCGGTGTAGCTGCGAACTACGTCGGCCGGAGGTACGTTCTCGCGTCCGTAGGAGTCTTCTACACGGCGGGGGCGCTCGTGGTGGCGTTCACCACGAGCTACGTGTGGTCCACTGTAGGACGCGCGCTGGCCTGTTTCGGCGTGGGGATGGGCCTACTCGTGGGACCCATCTTCATCGTCGAAACGGCACCGTCCACGACCCGAGGATACCATGGTACCTTCCCACAGGTAATCCATTTTTTTCCAAAGTAGTAAATACTATTCGATCATTTTTACGAGGAATTTTACAATGCTATATAGTATTGGTGCTATAGGTTTTTGCCTTTATGGTACAACTTAAAATTGTACATTTATGTTATGGTACAATTTCAGATTGTACCTATACTGTTTGTACAAATTCATTTATGGTACAACTTGAACTTGTACCTTTATGTGATGGTACAACTTCAAGTTGTAAAGTTGTACCATAACATAATGGTACAAATTCTTTTATGGTACAATCTAAACTTATACATTTCATGTTATGGTACAACTTTAAGTTGTACATTAAAGCACCAATACTATATAGCATAGTAGAAATGCTCTCATTTTTACTGCTTGCTTTCTTTAAAAGTTACAAATTAGGAAGGGGAAAAGCTGAACTCTTAGTCTCTTGAGTTTTAATAATTGCACATAAATTCCATCTAATATTATTTTTGGTTGCACTGTTAATAATTCCGTCCGAAAAGCTAACTGCGATTATTAAATCTTAAGTAGGCGAACATGAACATTAAATCGGGGGTTAAATACTACTAGGTGCAATAAACCATAGGTCCAAATCGTACGTAACATTTTATTGGTCGGAAATTGTAGTACATTAATGTCATACGTAAAATTTGTAATGTCTTTTATAGGGTAAAATCCATGTTTGGTCACTATATTTACTAAAAAGTGTCGTGTTTAGTCACTAAAAATATTTAATTTCAATGTTGGTCACTCGAATTAGTTAAACAGTTCATATTTGATCACTTGAATTAGTCAAACAGGTGTTTGGTCATTCTTTGTTATTCTCCATCCAACTATATTAATTAAGTCAGTATCTGTTGAACTGTTGTTGTGGCGAACAAAATGGCAGAATCAGCAAATTTTACCCTAAAAATTTGAAATCCGACCCATAAACCCGTCATATCATCACGACCAATCCAACCTAATTTGACCCGAAAAACATAAACCCAAAAACCTATTCATCTTCCTCGTCGAAACCTACCTCGATCCTTACCATCTCTTAGTCTCCAAATCCGGCCACCTTCTCTACGCCCACCGTCCACAATGCCGAGAAAACCAAAAAGAAAAAAAAAACCCCCAAAATTCCAGATACCTTTCTTCCCAAACCCAATCTCGGTCACTTTATTTCACTCTTCTTGATGGCGCTGAATAAGCAACGACGGACGGTTTCAACAACCGCTTCACCGCGACGGAACTCGAACAATGAAAACAGCTGAACACAGGGACGAAACGAGTATCCAGTTCCCGTTGTGCTTCTTCTTCCAAACATTGGCAGTGCAGCTGCAGACCTTGCCAATTGACCTCTCTCCGCCGCTGAATCGGCCGCTGAATCGACTTTTCTGCACCATAACATAAGAAAAGAAGGAGGAAGGAATGGGGCCAGCGAAGCATTCCTCGCCGCGAATTTTGACTTTCCTCTACTTCCCTATTGACGAACGCAATAGAGCAAGAAGAGGTCCAGTGGATACGAAGGAGGCTTCCACACCGTCTGCTCCGCTGTGAAGAAAGAGATCTTTGCTCCGCCCCGTCTGCTGCCTTCTGGATCTTGCAGTTGAATGGCGCCGGGGATTTTCACACGTTGACGGCGGGTGAATCGGTCAAGGATAGAGCAACTCAAATAATCTCCAACAACACCTCCTTTTCTTCTGGCAGATCTGGGTTTCATGAAGGGAAGCCCGAAACTTCAGTCTTGATCTCTCTGTCGGTCTTCCTTTGAAACAAGGATGAAACCAGAGCAAGAGGGAATTGGGTGGTGATTCCTCTGCTTCTTAGATGAAGAGGGAGCGATTCAATTTTTATTTTTTTTTTTTTTTTTTTGCGCGGATTCCTTTGCTTCTCGGATGAAGAAGAGAAGATAGAGTGGGTAGAGAGAGGGAATTGGGCGAAAGTGAAAGGTGGCGTCGATCTTTTGTGCCGGGGTCTGTTTATAGATCGAGCCGGTTTAAGGGTGGGTTCGGTGAATTTGACATGGCCAGTTTTAATGACGTGGTAGGTGAGACGGTGTTTTTGTTAGGCTGATAGAGTATTTTTGTTTGTCACATCAGCACATAACGAACTCAGCTAACGGAGTTGGATGGGAGACTAACCAAAAGTGACCAAACATGAACTGTTTCACTTATTCGAGTGAGCAAACATGCATGGTTTACTAATTCGAGTGACCAATATTGAGATTATATATTTCTAGTGTCTAAACATGTTACTTTTTAATAAATCCAGTGATCAAACAAGAAATTTACACGTCTTTTTATATATAAAAGTGTATAATAGTATGTAAGAAGAAGGTAATAATACAAAAAAGTTAAAACTAAAATTCGATTCATTTTGATCGTTTTAGGTACTCTTGGTTGTGGGGACGGTAGTGGCCCACCTTCTGCAGCTCACGCTCTTCCGGCTCTCCAGGCATCTGGCCTGGAGGGTGATGGTCGGCGTTGCCACGCTGCCGGCCATCTACTTTACCTATACTGTTGTCTGGAGGGAGTTCACCGACACGCCTTGCTGGTTGGCGATGCGCGGCCAGGCTCGGGACGCGGAGCTGTTGATGGAGCATTGCGGCGCCGACGGAACGGAGCCGCACGATCGGAGGGCGCGACTGGAGCGGCTCGCCAGGTTTTTGACCACCGGCAGCACCCCCGACCCCGCACGAGGTCAGTTCCCCAGCCGCATCACCGGCTTCTGGGCAGACTTGTTTTACTACCTGGAGTCCTACCCGCGAGACGCCTTCACTGTCACTGTTTTGTACATCGCCCAGGACGCGATGTGCGAGCAGATGGCGTTTCGCCTCGTTCCCGTTGTCCTCGCACGATTCAGGCTGGACTCGTGACAGTCCAGCTCGATCGCGGGGCTCGTCCTGGCCAGCGTCAAGCTGGTCTCGACGTCGATCTCCATGCACGTGGCAGGGAGATCGATGGCCCGATGCAAGGGACTGTTGCTCGCGGGACTCGGGGTAGCCACGTGTTTGTTGGTGGTTCTCAGCGGTGTGACCTTCGTGGGCGTACACGAGCGCGTCAGCAGTGGGACCGCCTTCGCGTTGTCGTGCGTTGGGATGCTTGGCCTCGAGGCGGTAGTTGGGCTTGGACCGGGGCCCGTCCCGTGGATGTACGGGCCGGAGGTGTTACCTCTCACCGTACGGGCCCCTACTTTAGGTTTCTGTCTAGTGTTTAAGTTTGCTAGTGGCATATTGTTAGGTTGGACTTTTCCTCAGCTCTACTTTACTTTTCGTCGAGCCTGGTTAGGGTTCCTCGTTGCAGCTGGGGTTATCGCAGCTTTTTTCTCACTCTCTTGTAGGTTAGTTAGGAGGACTACTTGTAGGTTGCTCATGGATGAGCCTGATTAGATGATTGTTGTTTTCTTTTTTACTTTTCTAAATAATGTCATATGTAAATATATGTAATCACTTATTGGTTAAGATAGTTATTTCTTCCATTTCCTACTGGTGCGTTGGGTTTAATTAGTATTTGTTGCAGATCTTATACAACTTTTTAATTTGAATTTTGGTGACATTGTACAATAGTGTGACAACTTTCGATGGAAAGAGAACAAAATTTGCGCAACGAAAGTGGAAACATCTTAAAAAATACTAGCGTGGGCCCCGGCCATTTGGCCGGGAAGGTGAGGTATGAAATTTGATAATGTAATGGGGTGTATAGCTTATTGTTGTATAGTTTTTTGGAAAACACGTGATAAAAATAGTGAATTTTAGTAGGAAAGAGACATGAATGATGCAACGAATCAAAAATCAACCTTATGAACCAAAATCAAATACATGTTACCTTGTGAAACAATATTGTTTATGGTAATATGATGAGGTGGGGTAAGTTTTATAGAAACCGAATTCCATAAAATCGAATAAAAAATCGCATATCCCGCCGATTTTCTGGAAATGAGCATCTCATAATCGTTGCTAGCTTTTACTCGGCCCGTTGGCCGATTAATTTGCTTTATAAAACTTTCATCTTGTTATCATTGTGCTTTCTGGTTTTTTGCCAAGCCATGATAAAATCTAAAGAAATCAAGAATGAACAACACGATTTGGGATATGAACCACCGTTCATATATCCCTATAAAATGGTGGTAAACACGGACTCACCTGCCAAACTGGTTTGTATTGAGATTTTTATCGGTATCAGAGAACCATGTGATTATAAATTATACTTGAACAAAACAGGCCAAAACTTGAAATTCAACCTGTTTGACCGACCCATGCCAAACTCTAATTATTCTTTACTTTTAAATTTTCTATTTGAAAATAAAAAATAATGAAAGAAAAGAGATGACTATAATTCGCCATTTGCACATCACTGATTCGGGAATAAAACTATAGAATTTTGAAAGAAAACTGAAAATATTTAGGATCGTTTTAATGTTAAAAATAACCAAATAGATCTTTCTATTTAGTTTTTTTACTAACAAATACCAAACGATTCCCTATAATATACACTATAATTTAATCATTATGATATCAAATAATTACATAATATATATTTGAAATGATAAAAATTGGACTAATTGGGTTGGTCGAGGTTGAACTATTGAATAACTTTAAAATACATTATATTTTAGCCACTAAGATATAAAATAATAGCATAATATATATTATGCTAGAGAAAATAGCTTGTTTTAGAATGACAAACCTATGATGTTCATTTGTTTTACTTGATCGGCAAATCCTGTGTAGGTTAGCCTCATTCAACTCTTTTATTTTATGATTAGCGGTTAGCGCATTAGAATTCATGCATTAGTTTATTGTTAATTTTTTTTTCTTTTTAACAATAAAAAGGAGTATTGTTTTTTATTTTTTATATATATTTTTAGCACCACAGAGAAATAAAAGGACTTAAAGAAAAAAATTGACACTCCTGGACCCTTTTAAATCCGCATATGTACGATAAGTTGGCCCGTTCCACAGAGGAAAAAGAAAAAAAATTGACACTCCCTATTCTACCCTTCCTACAAACGCTCCTAGAGCAGAGAATTTGAAATGGGGGAATGGTTTTTCCTCTCTGCGATTATATGTTTTTAATTTAAAAAGATACAACAAATGTACTTAGTGTGATTAGCTATGATCTTTGCTTTTTTTTTAAGTGGTCATGGTTCAAATCCTAGTAAGTGTCTTTTTAATGAATAAAAAAAAGTAATTGTGAAGACCAAAATGTCCTTACTTTCACTCTTGATGCAGGAAATTTGAAATGAGGATTCAAATTTTCTCATTTGCCTTTTATTTATTGTGTAGATTAAAGGGCTTTCAGAATGAAGCCACTGCCACGTACCCCTTCCTGTAATTAGAAGTGGTCCACGCCAGCCTCTTATAAACCCGTTCCCTGCCTTCCCTAGATTACTCCACCGCTTTTCCTCCTTCATTTGCCAAATCCCCCTGTAACTGTAATTGTCTTTCTTGTAACTGTCCCGCCATTCCTTATAACTCGTGTCTTTCATTTTCCCGTCTTCAAGTTTATAAGATTTGTCGCTTTTTGGTGCTCTTTTGTCGATCTTATTCTCTGCCTCTCCATTTCATATTTGTTCTACCGGCGTGCTTCCTTCCCGATGCCACTCCAATCACACTCTTGAATCGCTAAAATGGAGCCTTTCTTTGGTGATGATATTAATTTTGGGTTATGCTTTCAAGATTTCATTACTGTTCTTGCTGATAGAGTTAAATACAAATTGAACCATGTTTGTCTCTCAAATCTAACATTTTTACTAATCCCCTTGAATAATTGCAAGGTGTGGTCGTCAAAACAAATTTTGCAAATCCTCTCCTAGAAGTCTTGGCTTTGCATTGACTTATTTTTCAAGGCCGGTGAAGTATGACTTTCGGCAATTGAATTTCATTTGCAATTATCATCGTCAACCATCAATTGCTTCCGGAAATCAATGGTCCAGGAATATTTATATATATATCAACCTTCACAATACATGAACTACTTGAAACTACTTATCACTGCTAGGTAGGAAATAGAACCATGTACTTGATGAGCATGTTCTTAAATATGCACAGTCTGTCATAACTTGGTCATTTGCTTGAGTGTATGGAGAAGGAATGGAGTGGCTCTGTTTCTATTTTGATGTCTCGCTTTTGTTTGTGTTTTCTACCTTGCTCTTGCAAAAGTGGATCTAGGTGAGTTACTTCTGTAATTTATTTCAGATGCGATTGCAAATTAGTTACGTTGTTCAATAGGTACATCCATTTTTCCCGTTCTTGATGATTCGTACACATATTTGCTCAAACTGTCTGACCTTGAAGTTATTGTTGCTATTTATTTGTGCTGAATAGAATTTTGATCCATCCCCCATTTGCATTTTTTACATCTTTGCAATGCTTTTACATCTTTTTTAACAAAAAAGGGATGACATTCAGTTGAGATGGACATTTAGATTAGAATTGGCTTCTCTTCTGCAATTTTGAATGTAATTTAAACCGTTATTTTTGTATAATTCATATGAATTTACTCATCGTTTGTGGTAATTCATTCTGCAAGGTACACTCTAATTTCCTTTTTCTCTGGCTGGCTCACAGTTTAAATTGTTACAACATGTTTGCGTCGCTTGATTTCATCTGATCTTACCTGTATATTTGCTTTCATGAGTTCGCCTTTTTCTTTCTTTACTTAGAGGTACTTTCGATGGCCTAACCATTAATCTTTTGTGATAACTTTAATTAGACTTCTGTCAATGTTCAAGAATTGTTCCATGTACATTGTTGATGGATATTTACTGATTTGTCTGGCTTAACCATTAATCCTTTATGATAACTTCAATTGGACTTCTGTCTATGTTCAAGAATTGTTCCATTAACCTTGTTGATGGAAATTTACTGATTTGTTCTGCCGTTGTGATCTTAAGGTATGCAGATTATGCATTCAAAGGAATCTATTTTAATAAATCCATGTAAGAAAAGTAGATTGCAACTACATAGGAAAAGGAAAAATGAAACTATTGGAAGTACCCCTTTTCTGAAATATATTAAATTAAATTTGTGTTATATTTTACTTTGATTTGCCAATCTTTACTATCTGTAAAACTATGAAGAGGCCATACTAACATGAAGTTGTTCCAACTTTAGGTTATCAAAATGAATATGAATTGATTAAATTCTCAAGTTGTCAAATAAAAATGAGTTTAATTCGCATTGTGAGTTTCTAAGATAATATCAATATGGGACTTATATATTTAATGTAGAGATTACAAATGAATTCATTCATGAAATATTTCACCGTGTTAAATTCAATCTACTAGAGTCCCATCCTGTCATAGCATGGATAACCTCTTTAGGGATTTATGACAAAACTTTATAACCTAAGATGAACCTTACATGACATAATCATGATGTACATTCATCCCATAAAATACAAACTGGACGACTAAACATCGCCCTAGTTTTACAATTATCGCCCTACTTTAAAACATAATATGACTAAATTATCCTTCTTTAATAATTTCAATGAAACAAAAAAGTCTCCTAAAATCCTCCTTAACATCGCCGACCTACTTCTTAGAGTCCTCTCCAAACCCCTTTGTCGGCGTCCTTCTCCCATGTGCTCCATCAAAGCCTGTGCATCCGAAGATCGAGAGTGTAACTTACATACGATTCTCCTGACAACCAAATGAGGAGAACTGAGAGAACTGTCCAAAGTGATAACTTTTCCGCTCTACAAAGCATGAGCACAAGCACCGAGCGAGGGTTGTGGTAGTCGATGATGTTGCAGAGTTCCCCCTTTAGTTAATATCTCATATAGCAAGGGATGTTCCTGCAATGGGGAAATTAATTCATCAACTTTTTGGGAAAGCTGGAAAGAAAGTTCCCTTCGTCCACTGAGAACAAATTAAATCCCAATCTTGAAATATATGTTCTGGAAGAGCTTCAGCAAGCGAGTGAATCTTTCCCATGTTTCATATTCACATCAGAATCAACTCTCTCATATCCATTGAATTCTCCCAAGCTGATGGCCTATCTCTCCTTTCGTCGTTCCCCAATGTCTAGTGAGGCACTCCAAGGGATTGGACATCGCTGTATCCCCAGATAATCGGAATTTTCCAATTGAGAAACGATCGAAGTGAGGCAGCCGGGAAAGAAAAGAATAAGGTTGGGCGATTAGATTAGGGCGATTGCCGATTAGAGCCCGGTTAATAATAAAAAAGATAAAGAACAAAGAAGTAATTTTCACCTTTTAGGTTAGGGCGATTAAGGCGAACTTTAGCAATCCCCAATACAAATGCTTAAAGAGAAACAGCCCGCGCAACGCGCAGGTCCTATGCTAGTAGGTTACTATTCTATTTTATGAAATGAAAACGTTCGTGGCCGAATTGTAAATAGCCACAAATTAACTTAAATAACCTTTTATCCTGTTGGGTTGGTCCAACTCATATGGTGGTTGGATTAACCGGTTTGAGTTTGAGTTTTGGTTGGTTTCTAGAAGATCCTCTATTTTCAAAATAGAGAGTTATTGTCTACTCAAAAAGTAAAAAGAGGTGACAACCTTTCATTTTTTAGAGAGAGAGAATCAGAAAAGAGAAGATATAAGGAAAAAGAGAGGAGAGAAAGAGCTGCAGTTTTTCGTTTCTGTAGCAGGGCAGACTGTTCAAGTGAGCGTTCTGGAAGGTTGAACCGTTGGATCGTCCTGAAATTTGGACAGTGGGTTCGCCAATTATCTGGGCTTCAATCTGAACGGAGGGATCGTCGTTTGGAGCTCTAGTTTGTCGGGAATAGCTGCTGGACAGAAGGTGTACGAATATGTTTTTTGGTATCTCTAAACCTCTCTTTGCCTTGCTCTTGTTCTTGTTATCCACCATGTTGGTGAGAGCTATTGTGGTTGATTGTTGATCCAAGAAGGGTGTTCTTGAGGTGTTTGTAATCCTCTAGCTAGTTTAGAGAGGACTTGTAATCCCACCAAAGTCTAGTGGAGTTGTGGCTTGGACAAAGGTCCCGTGGTTTTTTCCCGATTTGGGTTTTCCACGTAAAAATCGTGTGTCTTGTGCATTCTATTATTGCTTGTGGTTGCTGCCCGGTTTCTCAACAGTGGTATCAGAGCCTGGTTGTTTTGGGGTTGTGTTTGGTGAATGGCAAGAATGGATGACTCAAGTGGAGCAATGATTAAGTTGACATCATCCCACTACTCTATTTGGAAGCCACGGATGGAGGATATTCTGTTTTGCAAGGATCTCTATGAGCCAATTGAAAATGGCAGCGAGAAGCCAGAAGACAAGAGCGAGAAGCAATGGGAGTTCTTGCATAGAAAGGCAGTGGCAATCATTCGACAATGGATTGACCAAAGCATCTTTCATCATGTTGCAAAAGATACAAGAGCAAATGAATTGTGGCAGAAACTGGAGTCCATGTATGAGAGGCAATCAGCTCAAAATGAAGCCTCACTCATTCGAAGAATTGTGAACTTGAAGTACAAGGATGGGCATAGTGTCTCGAAGCATTTGAGTGACTTTCAAGGGCTTGTGAACCAGCTAACTACTATGAAGTTAGCACTTGATGATGAAGTGCAAGCATTGTTACTTCTCAGTTCTTTGCCGGATAGTTGGGAGACTTTGGTGGTCTCACTTAGCAACTCAGCACCTAATGGCAAGTTGACGATGGACATTGTCAAGGATAGCATGTTGAATGAAGAGGCAAGGAGAAAAGAGTTGGGGATTACATCAGAGTCACATGCTTTGGTGGCAGATAATTCTGGAAGTCGTGGAAGAAGCAGAAATCGAAATTCCAACTTCAAGAACTCTCAAAATCGAAATAACAGCCGATGGAGATCAAAAGGAAGATCAAAATCAGTGTCAAGACCAAGAGGAGAAATCACATGTTATCATTGCAACCAGCCCGGACACATGAGGAGAGAGTGCAGAATCTTGAAACGAGAACAAGCTAGAGGAAAATGTGTGGAAAACCGAGAAAAAGATGAAACTACTGCTGCTGCCACAGATGGTGATGTGGTCATTGTTTGTGATGCCGGTTTTGTTAACCTTACTTGTCAAGAGAGTACATGGGTTGTTGACTCAGGTGCCTCATTCCATGTGACCTCACGGGTTGATTTTTTCTCTTTCTACACAAACGGTAACTATGGTTGTGTGAGGATGGGAAATGACGGCGCATCAAAGATTGTTTGCATGGTTGATATTCATCTAGAGACCAACACGGGTTGCAAGCTAGTCTTGAAGGATGTGAGACATGTTCCTGACATGAGGCTGAATTTGATATCCACGGGAAAGCTTGATGATGATGGTTATACCAACTATTTTGGAGAAGGAAAATGGAAGCTCTCAAGAGGTTCTCTTGTGGTGGCTAAAGGCAAGAAGGAAAGTACGCTCTATGTGACGAATGCAAAGCTTAGCAAGAGAGGAATCACTGTTGTTGAGAAAGATTCTTCCATTGAGCTTTGGCATAAGAGACTCGGTCATTTGAGCGGAAGGGGCTGCAAATATTGTCCAAGAAACAACTCTTTCCCGGAGCTAAAGGTACTCGTCTTAAAACTTGTGTTCATTGCTTAGCCGGAAAAACTCATAGAGTTGCATTTCATAGATATCCACCTTCTAGAAGGAGTAAGGTACTTGATCTAATTCACACTGATGTTTTTTTTATGCGAGATAAAACTCTTGGTGGTGCAAGCTATTATGTTACCTTCATCGATGATCACTCAAGGAAGGTGTGGACATATGCTTTGAAAATGAAGGATCAAGTGCTAGATGTTTTCAAGCAATTTCATGCTGAACTGCGTAAGGGCTGATAACGGGGGAGATTATAGAGGTCCATTCCAAAGCTACTGCAGATTGCACGGAATTAAACTGCAGAAAAGTGTACCCAAGACTCCACAACAAAACGGAGTCGCCGAGAGGATGAATAGATCAATTTGTGAGAGAATCAAGTGTATGCTCTCACATGCCAAGCTACCTAAATCATTTTGGGGAGAAGCAATGCGGACTACGGTTGATCTAATCAATCTCTCACCATTGGTCCCATTGGAGGGTGATGTGCCTCAACGAGTATGGACGGGAAAGGAAGTCTCATATGAACACTTGCGAGTGTTCGGTTGCAAAGCCTATGTTCATGTTCCAAAAGATGAGAGAGCAAAGCTTGATGACAAAGCAAAGCCAAGTATATTCATGGGCTATGGGCGTGAAGAGTTTGGGTACAGATTATGGGATCCAATTGCAAGGAAAATTGTTCGGAGCCGGGATGTGATTTTTCTTGAAGATGAGACAAGTGAAGACGTCGAAAGGGTTGAAAAGAAGAAAAATACAGCAGTTGGTCCGCTTAATTTGGAGCCTATATCTCCATCCCAAATGCATGAAAATGTTGAGGAAGTAGTGCATGATGAGCCCCAAGGTGCACTAGATCAAGAAGTGCAAGGAGAAGAGCAAGAAGAACAAGTTGAAGAAGAGTAACCTCTATCCGAACTAAGAAAGTCAAGAAGAGATCGCAAAGCTTCCACTTTGTACTCTCCTCATGAGTACCTATTGTTGACTAACGGGGGAGAACCCGAATATTATCAAGAAGCCATGTCTCATGAAGACAAGGAGGAGTGGAACAAAGCAATGCAAGAAGAGATGAAGTCTTTGCAAGAGAATCACACCTATGATTTGGTGAAACTACCCAAAGGAAAAAGATCACTTAAGAACAAGTGGGTCTACAAGTTAAAGACGGGGGAAACTAGTTCAAATCCTCGGTTTAGGGCGCGACTAGTTGTGATGGGTTTCAACCAAAAGAAAGGTGATGACTTTGAAGAAATTTTCTCTCCCGTGGTGAAGATGTTCTCTATCCGAGTTGTGTTTGGGTTGGCTGCAAGTTTGGACTTGGAAGTTGAACAACTCGATGTGAAGACGCCGTTTCTTCATGGTGACTTAGAGGAAGAAATCTACATGGATCAACCGGAAGGGTTCGAGGTTAAAGGCAAAGAAGATCTTGTATGCATATTGAGAAAGAGCTTATATGGGTTGAAGCAAGCACCAAGGCAATGATACAAGAAATTTGACTCATTCATGGTCAAAAACGGGTATGCAAGAACTACCTCCGATCATTGTGAGTTTGTGAAATACTTTGCTGAAAATGATTTCATCATTCTCTTGCTTTACGTGGATGACATGTTGATCGTGGGTCGGAATGTTGGAGAGATTGATAGATTGAAAAAGGAGTTGAGCAAATCCTTTGCCATGAAGGACTTAGGACCGGCGAAACAAATTCTAGGGATGAGAATCTCTAGAGATCGAAGGAATGGAAAGATTTGGTTGTCTCAAGAAAGGTATATTGGAAGAGTTCTTGAGCGGTTTAATATGAGCAAGGCTAAGGCGGTTAGTACTCCACTTAGAGGACATTTCAAGTTGAGTGTGAAGCATTGTCCTACAAGTGACGAAGAGAAAGAAGCAATGAAGAATGTGCCTTATGCATCAGTTGTTGGAAGCTTGATGTATGCCATGGTTTGCACAAGGCCGGATATTGCTCATGCCGTTGGGATTGTTAGTCGGTTTCTTTCTAATCCGGGGAAAGAACATTGGAGAGCAGTGAAGTGGATTCTTCGCTACTTGAGAGGTACTTCTAGAGTGTGTCTATGCTTTGGTAATGACAAGACCACACTTGATGGATATACCGATGCTAACATGGCAAGTGATGTGGACTCTAGAAAGTCGACTTCTGGATACATGATGAATTTTGCAGGTGCTGCAGTTTCATGGAAATCTAAACTGCAAAAATATGTTGCATCATCAACAACAGAAGCCGAATACATAGCCGTGACAGAAGCTTGCAAAGAGATGTTATGGTTGAAGAAGTTTCTTCAAGAGTTGGGCATTAAGCAAGAGAGGTATGTCCTCTATTGTGATAGTCAAAGTGCAATTCATCTTTGCAAGAATCCAACTTTCCACTCAAGGTCGAAACACAGGGGGGGTATATACATATATTGTCACCCTATAAGAGAAAAAAAATTTATTTCATTCCATCATTCATGAGAGAAGGGAACATACATTGTCACCCTTATAGAGAAAGAAATTATTCACATTCATGAGAGAAGGGTACATACACTGTCACCCTTATAGAGAATACACCTCTTATAGGCCTGTCCCTCGCAACAATGAGTAATGGCTATTACCCAATGATATAGTCGCCGAGAAACATGCTCTACTCAATTGATACTTAGAGGGGGTTTACGAGGTAAGGCACAGAGGAAGGCAGGTGGGGGTATATACATATATTGTCACCCTATAAGAGAAAGATGATCTACCTACTTCCCATCGTGAATGGAAGCTCTGCACCTAAGGAAGGCTGGTTACAGCTATACTGAAAACGTCTCTTATCACTTTTATCCTACAAAGAGACTATCCCAGGAACCTAAGGGGCGTAGCGAGCAATCAAAGCTAATCTCATACCTCATGGTCTACTAAAAAAAGGAACAGTAGCTTGGTATTGGTTCGAATCCAATACATGAGTAGTTGGCGTTATCAGCCCAACCCTCTGAAAATCCTCATAGGCCCGTCCAACTTTACAATGAGTAATGACTATGAAAAATCTAGTCGCCGAGAAAACGATCTCTACTCAATATTGATACTTAGAGTTGGTACCGAGGTAAGGCCCAGAGGAAGGCTGGTGCTAAAAGCTATACTGACAGTACACATACTGACAGAAGCGAGTGAAGCGATTAACGACATCAAAAATATACCTAATAACCAAAAAGGTAACCCATTGAGAATAGTAAAAAAGAAATCATGAATGAAACCATGTCCGTCATATCCGTAAAAAAAATACTGTGCATCCACAAAAAGAGAGAGTATAATATATATCAGTCTCGAACAACTTTATATCCAGTAAATCTAATATCTCAGGCACGTATGGCATCAACAAACAATGAGAAAAATAAAAAAGAAGAAATGAAAGAAGAAATAGAGAACCAAAAGATGAAGATCAAGAACAAAAAGCAACAGATTAAGAACAAAAAGCAAGTGGAAAACAAAGTGCATACAGATGACATTGGATTCGTGATGTTTTGGAAGAGAAGTTGTTGGAGCTCAATAAAGTGCATACAGATGACAATGGTTCGGACATGATGACTAAGTCTCTACCAAGTGGAAAACATATCCCCTGTCGAGATGAAGCAGGTTTGGTGCTACCCCCCATATGAGCTGGAGGGAGAGATTTGTTGGGTTGGTCCAACTCATATGGTGGTTGGATTAACCGGTTTGAGTTTTGGTTGGTTTCTAGAAGATCCTCTATTTTCAAAATAGAGAGTTATTGTCTACTCAAAAAGTAAAAAGAGGTGAAAGCCTTTCATTTTTTAGAGAGAGAGAATCAGAAAAGAGAAGAGATAAGGAAAAAGAGAGAAAGAGCTGCAGTTTTTCGTTTCTGCAGCAAGGCAGCCTAATCAAGTGAGCTTTCTGGAAGGTGGAACCGTTGGATCGTCCTGAAATTTTGACAGTGGGTTTAAAATTATCTGGGCTTCAATATGACCGGAGAGATCGTTGTTTGGAGCTTTAGTTTGTCGGGAATAGCGGCTGGACAGAAGGTGTACGAATCTGTTTTTTGGTATCTCTAAACCTCTCTTTGCCTTGCTCTTGTTCTTGTTATCCACCATGTTGGTGAGAGCTATTGTGGTTGATTGTTGATCCAAGAAGGGTGTTCTTGAGGTGTTTTTGTTGAAGTTTATTAATTTGGGTACTAATTTGTCTACGTATTTGGACTGCTGCTGTGTATTCCCATATGTATATATAGCTGAACTAAACCTGTACCTAGGTTAGCCGAGTTTGTGATAGTGAAACCCTTTGGAGAGTGCCGTCTCTCCCGTGGATTAGTCCTGAGATTCAGGGATACCACGTTAAAATCTTGGCGTTCTTTGTGCTTGGTTTGGTATTCTGTACATGGTATCAGAGCCTCTGCTCTAAGTTTTGGTCGTTTGTTACCGCGATTTAGGTGTGCGCAGTTTGGGTGTTTTGTCGTTTGTTGCCGGGCAGATTTGGGTGCGCTTTGGATCTTTTTTGGAATAGTGGGTTTTCTTGCTGCATATTGGAATTACAAGTGACGTCTGGCTCACTTGCAGAGGCGCAGCTGTTTGGATCTCTTTTGGGATAGTGATTTTTTGCTGAATATTGGAGTTACAGGTGACGTCGGCTCACTTGTAGGGACGCGACTGCTGGGTTTATGGAATTGTCAAAAATGGATTCGGTCTCCATTAAGTTCGATGGTACTAATTTTGCCCTTTGGGAATTTCATTTTCGTAACTTTGTTGCTGGCAAAAGATTGCTTCCAATTTTGACAGGCGAGCTCAAGCCGCCTGGTGCTGATGCGGCTGCCGCTGATATTGCTGATTGGAATGCGGGCAACGCGCAGCTCATCACATGGCTCGTCGGGGCTGTGGACATTCCCACTGCGCTTAGCCTTCGCCGTTTTCAGACAGCACATGAGATGTGGGCTCACATCGGCTCAACTTATGCGCAGCATAGTACTTCTCGTCAGTTTGAGTTGGAAACAGAAATTGGGCGCCTGGCTTAGGGCGATCGAGATGTTCGAGGTTATTATCAGGCAAGTCTTCATCTGTGGACCGAGTATGACTTGTTGACGACAAATCTGGTTCCTACCGCTGCATCTGCTGCTGTGATTGCCGAGAGGACTCGAACTCGAGTTCTTCAATTTTTGGCAAAACTTCGGTCGGAGTTTGAGCCCATCCGGGATTCCTTAATTCATCGTGGTGTCACTCGGATTGAAGATGTGGTTGCTGAGTTGCTTCATGAAGAGACCAGGTTGAAGAGTCAGTCTCAGATTGACAATGCTAGCTCCCACTCCAAGGCTGCCTTTGCGGTGGGTCGTCCTGCTGCCGCATCTCGACCCCAGTTTACTCGGCCGAATCAAGGGGCGATCATCTGTCACTTCTGCCGCGAGCCTGGTCACATTAAGATCCATTGCAAAAAGCAGAATTTTTGCCATTATTGTAAACGTACCGGCCATATCGTCCTTGAGTGCCCTACTCTTAGCCGGCGGGGCAAGCTTCGACCATCTTCTTCCGCAGGATCCTCGTCTCATCGCACAGCCTATCCAGTCACCCTCGAGACCTCGGAGCCTGCTGGCTTAGTGACTGGCCACTCTGGGTCGTCTCTCTTGTCTAACTAGCTCCGACGCCTAGTTCAAGAGGCTATGCAGAAAGCTCTCTCTTCAGCTTTTGCTACTACTGTTTCGTCGGGTAAGTCCTCTCCTTGGCTCTTAGGCTCAGCTGCGTTTAACCATATGACCCGTGATCGGCATAGTTTTGTGAATCTCCGCCCGGTGGAGGCCATGCGCCTTCAAGTGGAAAATGGCGAGACAATTCCTGTTGATGGTTCGGGTATGGTCACGACGGGTTCGATCACTCTTCCCCGCACCCTCTATGTTCCGCAACTTCGTCCTAATTTAGTCTCAGTAGGCCAGCTGGCTGACGATGGTTGCGATGTCATGTTTGACTCGAATGGTTGTGTTGTGCAGGACCGGATGACGGGGAGGGTGATCGGGCGGGGAAGTAAGCATGGGAGGACGTTTGTTCTTGACCAGTATTGTCGTGGGACTGATGCTGGGATGCAAGGAGGTGCTGGTCACGAACGCGTGGGTGGTGGCCGACGCGAAGCTCCGGACCTGGGGGTGGTGCAGAACCAGAAGCTAGATGTTGTTTTTCCAGTTTATAGTTCGGATAATTCAGTTGATACTTCTTTGTGGGAATTGTGGCATCGTAGATTGGGTCATCCCCATTCGGGCAGATTAAAGACGATGTTTAGACATAATTTATTGCCGGATAAATTAGATTTGTCAAAGTTGGCTGGTTTGTCAGATTGTGTGAGTTGTGTTGAGGCTAAAACCTCACAGCTGTCGTTTTCAGAAAGTGACACAGTTTATGATGGTCCTTTTGACTTGGTTCATACGGATCTCTGGGGTCCGTCCCCGGTCACTTCGAGACTGGGTTACAGGTTTTTTTCATTGTTTGTTGATCACTATACTCGATTTACTTGGGTATATTTTCTAAAACAGAAATCTGAGCTCGTTTTCGTGGCCAAGGAGTTTATTCAAATGGTCAGAACACAGTTTGATAAGACAGTCAAGGTTTTGAGGTCAGATCCCGGGGGAGAATTTGTTTCGAATGATCTCCTATTGTTTTTTAAGTCAGCCGGTATTCTGCCACATCAATCGTGCCCAGGAGTATCTCAGCAGAACGGTGTGGTTGAGAGAAAGAATAGACACGTCCTGGAGCTTACTCGAGCTATACTCTTTCACTCTCATGTGCCGACAGGGTTCTGGGTTGAAGAGGTGCATGCTATTATATATTTGATCAACCGTCAGATCATGCCTCTGTTGGGACAGCGAACTTCGTCCCAGGTCTTGTGTTCCAAGCTTCCGGATTATTCGTTCTTGCGAGTTTTTGGCTGTACTTGTTATGTACTGTTACCCAGGAAAGAACGACACAAAATAGCTCCGAAGGTGACACGGTGTGTGTTTGTTGGATACAGTGACAAACATAAAGGGTACATGTGTTATGACCCGATTGGTCGGCGTATGCGGATTGGTTACCATGTCAAGTTTGTTGAAACAGAGATGTATTATTCTACCTCTCATGCCGAGGCGAGCTCTGCTGCCTCCTTAGACTTCCTCACGGTTTTACCTGATTTTGAGACTCCAGTTCTGGATATTCAGCACTCGCAGGATACCACTACTGAACCACATACGCCCAGCACGTCTCACTCGTCTAGCTCCTCTAGTTCGTCCCCCAACTCTACAGGTGGCACTGCATCTTTGACGCCAGGCTCCTCCTCCAGCTCGAGTTCAAGCAGTTCCTCCGAGGGAGGGAGTAATGATTCTCATTCCCTTGTTTAGCCTCTTGTGCCATTGCGCCGCTCTACTCGTGCAACGTTGGGCCAGCCTCCATTATGTATGCAAGATTTCGTCAGTTATTCGACCCTACCAATCTTTATTCCGCAGAGATATTCACAAGCTGTGGGTGACCCTCGATGCAACGCTGCGATGCGAGTGGAAATGGATGCTTTGGAGGAGAAGAGAACCTGGGATCTAGTCCCGCGTGAAGAAGGTATGTCCGTAATTGGCAGCAGGTGGGTCTATAACATCAAGATGCTGCCGGATGGTGAGATTGAGCGCTTTAAAGCTCGAGTTGTGGCACAGGGCTTCAAACAAGAATATGGGATAGACTACGATGAGACTTTTGCCCCGGTAGTGAAGATGCAGACTGTTCGGTGTGTTTTTGCAGTGGCAGCAATGAAGGGATGGTCTTTGTTTCAACTTGATGTTAAAAATGCCTTCCTCCACGGTGATTTGAAGGAGACAGTCTATATGGAGCGCCCTCCAGGCTATGACAAAGGTGATTCCACGATGGTATGTAAGTTAAATCGCTCTCTGTATGGCTTAAAACAGGCTCCTCGGGCTTGGTTCGACAAGTTTCACGGGACTATCTTGCAGGCTGGGTTCTCTCAGAGCCAAAATGACCCTTCTCTTTTCACTCGGGAGACAGTTGATGGTATTGTGGTCTTATTTATCTATGTTGATGACATTATCATTACCGGGAGTGATGCTGGTGGGATTAGAAAGTTACAGATGCTTTGAGGAGTGCTTTTAACTTGAAGGAAATGGGGGAGGTCACCTACTTCTTGGGGATGGAAGTTAGACGCTCCTCTCAGGGTTTATTCGTGTCTCAAAGGAAGTATATTTTGGATCTTTTGGAGTCTTCTCAGTTTGCATATTGTGTTCCATGCTCCACTCCCATGGAGCAAAATCTTAAACTAACTCGAGATGGTGGGGAAGTGTTGGCAGATAAGTTTCAGTCGGTGTATCGAAGCTTGGTAGGGAGCTTAATTTATTTGACTCATACAAGACCTGATATTTGTTATGCAGTGCAGGTTGTGAGTCAATATCTTGGAGTGGCTACTAATCTTCATCTCGCTGCCATCCATCGACTGTTGAGGTATCTAAAACAGACACAGGATGTTGGAATTTTCTTTCCGGCTACAGGAGAACCTCAGTTGGAAGCTTTTGCAGATGCGGATTATGCTGGGTGTTTGGATACACGGAGGTCAACATCCGGATGGTGTGTTAGGATCGGCCAATCCTTCGTGTCATGGAGATGTCGAAAACAAGATCGGGTATCTAAGTCCTCAACTGAAGCCGAGTATCGGTCTATGTCAGAGGTAAGCTCTGAGTTGGTTTGGCTCCATCGGCTTCTAGGAGAATTGGGTGTTAATTGTCAAATCCCAATGCGTATATATGAGGGATAATACGAGTGCAATACAGATAGCAGTTAATCCTGTCTTGCATGATAGGACAAAGCATATTGAAGTCCATGTTCATTACATTAGACAATTGGTGGCAAAGGGAAAGATACAAGTTGGGCATCTCTCGACTGAAGACCAGACATCAGATCTTTTGACGAAGGCGGTCTCATCGAGCAGGCATTGGTATCTCTCATCCAAATTGATGTTGCCAAATAAACTTTATTTGCAATTATGTTAATTAATTCTCGGATTCTACGAATATATATATAATCATAGAAAGTGAAGATAAGATTTAGATTTCCCCATTACCATCACATTATTAACTTGCCGCTAATAATTGATCGAGAATCATGCATTACCATCTTTGAGGAGATTGTTATGCTTTGTATTCATATATAAATGTGTAAGACCGACGAGCTGTCAACCAGGACATGGAAAGATAACTTTGAGATTTTGCAAAGGCGCTTGAGTCCGTTCTTTCTTTCATCCGTCCGTTGATATATTATGGAGGGGAAGTTTGTGGCGGCTGTGCTGGCGGTGCTGCTAGTGACCACCGCCGGGATGATGGGCTCTGCTTCGGCAGACAAATTCACCCAATGTTACGACGCTTGCATGACGGAGTGCGGCCACAACGGGAGCTTCGAAGTTTGCGCGACGCTGTGCGTCGATCGGTGTAGGAAACAGGGTGGCGGGAGAAGACTGCTTTGGTCGACGACGGCGCAAGGGTCAATCGACGGCGGCGACAGTAAGCAATAAGCTCGATCGCTCAAGGGTGTTCTCTTCACTATGTTGTTTTAATTTATTTATTTTTCTCGCCGAATTATGTTCGTTTTGATTTTGTCGAAGAATAAAACAAATAGTAACGGCGACAAATCTCTTATTTTGCTTTCTCTCTATATTTCATATGCCGTAGCCTATAATATATATATACATGAACTGAGACAATTCGCTTCAATTACTAACAAATTAGCCATTAACGTTCAAATTTTAACAAACTGATAACTTGCGTTTTGACTAGCTAATTAATCAATCATTCAGACTCTTTCTAATTAGAACTCATCTATTTTCCATCTAAACTTGACATGTGTCCAAAACCTCAATTTTGGGAAAAGGTTCAATAACCTCTAATACAAACCCTAATCAGTGCTCAACCCACCCGAGCCGAAACCCACGACTCAACCCTCTGCTCTACCCGGACCTAGTCCGTACCCACTCTCGGGCTTTTTTCTGGGCTTGTTAATTAGTAAGCCCAAAGTGACCTATTGACCCGAAGCTGAATTTTGCGGCTCATCATTCATGAAGAGTTTGAGTTCTTACTGAATCTTGATTGGGAGGTCATTGTATCCTATGTATATAGAGAGGCGAATTTTAATGCCGATTTCCTAGCAAATAGGGGTTATTTAATTCATTTTGGCACACATCGTTTTAACGTGTACGACCCTGAATTTGAACATTGACTTCTCCACGACATGATGGGTATTCCTCATGATCGTTTGATTATTAATACGAGTTAGACGCTTGCGTCGCCCTTCTACCAAAAAAAACTTATTATAATAGCATATACAAATACAACATCTTAAAACTTCAATTCCTTTTATAAATTTCTATATTGTGCTAATTAATTCTCTGATTCGAGGAAATGATATATATAATCATAGGGAAAAAAATTAGTTGATTTCAACGACGCTGTATCTCAATATTTTATGATTTAATTTGAAACATTAACGTCGAGAAGGAGTTCTCTTATATATTTTGATTTCTCTCTGTATTTCATGTACGTTATGAAATTGATGGAATTGTTGTTTGTGATATTCTCCGGCGCGGTGTGGTTGTATTTCTTGCCGGCGGCGGCTGATATGAATGAATAATAAGAGACATGCGGTGTCGTAGGAAAATGAAGGCCGGCTTGTTGGAAATGTATATGAATAGCTTTGAAAGCTATAGAGTCTCTAGTGGGAAAACTACCACATTGGTAGTTTTACTTGGTGAAAGGAGATGAATAGTTTTGTTGTTCCGTTCCTAACACGGCCGTGGGGAAGGAGATGGCGCCGGCGTGGTGGGCAGCCATTGGATTCCTGATGAACGACGACCATTCACCCCCATTCTTCTTTTCTCATTCTGGACCTCGTGCATGTATAAGATTGAAATAGGGAGAAAGGAGTTGTTGTATATTGACTTGATCTTACATTGTTACGGTAGGATTAGGGATAATCAGGATTTCGTTTAATTTGGATTTGTCAAAGTATCGCTAAAATGAAATGTTCTACTCACGTATTATCATTTTTTTAAAACTCTGAAAATAAGTTGATCATACATCAAATTTGAAGACGTAACGTAAATGTCACAGTATACAACAAAATAATAATTAATTTTGTATTTGGTTTAAGTTTGGGCGGTGTTGTAAATCACTGTATAGTATATATATAGTGACTTATTTTGCGCGTTACGAAAATGCTAGTATATGTCGTACGTTGATTATTGTTGAAGCCCCTTTGATTCACCCACTTCACTCCCGTACCGTACTCCTGACTTCACGGACCTTCCTGCACACACAGAGGTGGGCCTTGTGCCCCGTTAATCCTCTAACGCTCAAGTCAGCCTCTTTCTTAAAGAGAGAAGTATTTTGCCAATAGAAATCTTTTTAGTGAGAGAAGCTAACCTCCATAAATGTTTGCCAACCACCATATTTATAACTGTTCATTACTCACCTTGGCTGGGCCGTACAAGCTTCCACGTCAGCACCGCATTTAATGTCTCATTTCAGGCGAGGCGCCTGTCTCATCACTCCAACGGGAGGTACGCTCCAGGCGCCTTTAGTGTATGTAGACTTCCACCTTTGCACCCTCGGACGCCTCGACTAACCGTGCTTTTCTATGCACACTTAACTAGGCTCTGGACTTTAGCTAACTGGGCTCCCGCTTCCATATCTTTGGGCTTCCCATGATCACTAGGGCCTCATTCTTCTCTGGGCTCCTTTAAGATCCATCTCCCGCATGTCTTGTTGACACGTCAGACTCCTCCCTTATGAATGCTCCCCAACAATTGCCCCCCCAGTTAGGTGCTCAAGTCTCATACCTTGAGCGCCTAACTAAATGCTTCCCCCTGCGGGTTTCACATTGGCATCGCATTTGATACCTTACTTGGGCCAGGCGCCCGCCTTGTCACCAATCTTGGGTCACCGAAAAAATAACTACCCGCTTCCCCTATCTGGTGCGCCTCCTTTCCTTCCCATCTCACTTGTACCGCGCCCATCTCCGGGCCCAATAACCTAAGCTCCTTTTGCCGCTATCTTAGGCGCCCCGCTCTTCACCTACCTCTCATTCTTATAACTCGTCCTTACCCAGTTCTCCTTGAGCCGATGCGCACGTCTTTACCCTAATCGAACTGTCATCCCCTCCCCAACTCGAGGCGCCTCTCGGCATCACCAGGTGCAAGGCGCCTCTCGGCCCCTTCCTCCTACTCTCCTCTTCCGCCGCGTTTTCAAAGGCGCCTCGACCCATCGTTGCTGATTTTCCCGACGCGCTTTCCCCTACTCTCGGCTTCACCCGGTAAGGGCGCCTCACGCTACTCCTGCTCCCGGCGCGTTTTCCCCTACTCTCGGCTTCACCCGGTAAGGGCACCTCGCCATTCTCGATTCTCCTTTTCCCAAAGGCGCCTCGCGCTACTCCTACTGCCCCCCTCACAACCGCCAATTTGAAATTCAAACTGTGCGGTTGTGATTGGGCCACGTGGCCAACGACACGATTGTCGAGGCGCGGCCTCTATCTTCTTTAAATGTAAGTTCTCTTTTGATCTTACTTCATTCGCCTTCAACTCTCTCACTCTAGCTTCTCTCTCTACCGTGCCTCTCTCCCTCCTCCTACCAGCGTGTTTCTGCTTTATTCCGAGATGTCGAACCCGATCGCCGATGCTGCCGCCGCCGCTGGCTCCTCGAATGGTCCAGGCACCTCGACCAAAACAGGTAACCATCTTGTGCCGCCGCCGCTTTTTTTTTTTTTTTGCCTTTTGTTTTTGTTTTCTCCAATGGGCGCCCCTCACCTCGCCGACGGTTGTGTGCGCCTGATTGAATTGTTATAGCGGGCGCGTCTGTATTGTCACCAATACCGTCCCCATCGTCCAACTACTACGTGCCGGAGGATTGATCGTACAAGATGACGACATGGGAAAACACGTGGCCACCTCAATATGCGCCTGTTGAAACTACGTGTTTGCCCACAAATGTGGCAGGGCCTGAGCACAACTCCCCATTTCAGTGGCTTGGATGACGAGTTTGATCACGGGCCTAGACCTCCCCCGTACGTGGACGTACGCGCCTCCATCTCCCATTGCCATGGTGGGTCTATGCGGGCCCAAATGGCAGGGCATCTACCAAGAATACTTCCGGTTCGGGCTTCGATTTCCCATAGATCCCATCTTAGAGGGGCTTCTAGACTATTGCGGGTGCACCATTGGGCGCCTATCACCATCTGTGATTCTGATCATTGTGCTTTTCAAGTTGAAGTGCCAAATCCATAATGTGCGCCCAAGTTTCAATCTTTTTCGTCATTTTTTCTCGGTTACCCCCAGAGATAACTGTCTGTCGTTGAAGCGCCAGAAGAAGGTGGGCGCCCACTTCGTGATTAAGTGTCCAAAGCTAGGAAGGTCTTGGTTCACGGGCTTCTTCTTCATGAAGGCGCATAGGGACTAATTTTTTGAAAGTGGGGGCGCCTTTAGGACAGATTGGGAGCTTGGTGATGAGAAACGTTTTAACGTTGCCGTTGTGCTTAACCAAGACGAGCGCACCGGCACCACTCTTATAAGCGTCTCACCCGTCGACTTGCGCCCAACCAGCGCCCGGGCGCCTATTTTAGATGCATACTTTGGAGATGGTGTGTTAGATACTTCGTTTGCTTGCTAATGCTCTTGTAGGCGCCTTGTCTGATGTGATTGCTTGTGTGCAGGTACCGATTTTTCCCGCATTGCCACTTTGATGAGGGGGCGGTACGCCAAGATGACACAGGGGCGCCTCTCCAAGCCCATGTTGACCCCCTCAAGGCGTCCCCTGCCTCTATTTCCACCAAGCAACCGCCCCAAGTTCCCTCTGTCAAAGGGAAAGGGAAGGCGCCCAGCGAGAAGCCCGCCAAGACTTCTAGCGTAGCGTCTACTCCGTCAGGGGCGGATGCGCCTGTAGATCCACCCTTGATTGTTACACTGGATGAGCAGGGGGGAAGAAGACGATGACGCGCCCTTGGTTACCCGTGGGAAACGGGCAGGCGCCCGACTAGCTTCTTTGGGGAAGAAACCTCGGCCCAATGTCCAAGACACAACGGATGCCCTAGCACGAGGGGAGGAAGGCACCCGGGGGCATGGCGCACTCTCCGGCCGCTATGTCATCTAGTCGGGGTGCCAACTTGGTCCGGACGGGAAGCCACCCATACTTCAGCCTTTGCGCACCGAGATGGGGCGCATTGCTCTTTCTTGCTCACCGCGCGCGGCGGTGGATCGTGGGTGCGCCATGGGCCTGGCCCTTTCGGCGTCCCAACTGCAGCAAGTGCCCTCCGAGATCGCGGAGGATCGTCCTTGGTTAGAAGTAGCCCGTATGGGTGTCAAGGTAACTTTTCATGCGCCTGAGTTTTCCTTCGTATTTACCTTCTTGTGCCCTTTTACCGGGGCGCCCCGTTGTATTGCCTGAATTCATGCGTCCATTTTTTTTTTTTTTTTGCAGATGCTCCTACTCGCCGAAGCAGGCGCCCGGAAGGCAGATGTCGCGGCTGAAGAGTGTCGCGAAGCGAGGATGTCTCTGTCCACCATGAAGGACAACCTTGAGAACTCTATCGCGCGCCGCGAGCAGCTTATCAAGGAGTGCAAAGAGGCCCAACTGGAGGCGGCTAAGCAAATCTCCACTCTTCAGGCTACCTTGGAGGCGGAGCGCCGCCAACGGGACACCGAGTTTGCTTCCCTTATGGCGAAGGAGCGCCTAGAGTTCGAAGTGAATTTGGCCGCCCTGGCGGCGGACAAGGAGGCACTTACTCAGGACTTGGGCGCCCGGGATACCGAGCTTGCGACCTTGAAGGAGGAGAAGGCCTCTCTCGAGGACAAGGTGAAGGCGGCTGCATACCGCCGAGGGGACTACAAGAAGGCCTTGAGGGACGCCCGCAAGGAAATAAGAGCCCTCAAGGCGTCCCTCAAGCGCTTCGCGAGCTCGGAGGCGGGGCAGGAGCTGATTGCCAAGGCGTCTCTGGACAGCTTGGTGCTTGCCAAGAGGAAGCTTGATCAAGAGTACCCCGACATCGTCGTGGACTTTTCCGACCTTGTGAACTTTGTCATTGAGGAGATGCAGAATGAACAGGAGGAGGCGGCTGAGGAGAATGACGCGGCGCCTACTGGGAGTGGGGAGGCTCCTTCTCCGCAAGAAAGTGACTCCTCAATGGAGGATGCCTCCTCAGAGGCGGAATAGACTAGGCTTCTTTCACTATTTGCGCTATGTACCATGGATTTGGGTTGCTTCCCCTCCCTTTTGATAATTGTGCAACTTGTATTTGGGTGTTCCGCCTACGGGCGCTTGTTAAATCGGATTGCCTTTTCGACTTTTGTTCGAGCGCCTTCCCTTCGGGTACTTCGGGGTAAATCGTTTTTTTTTTTTGCGCATAATTTACCAACTTCGATTGCTTCCACGGCTTTTCGCAGACACTACCTATGTTTGGGCGCATAGTTTTACGGGCGCTTTATTGACTTGTATTACTTCCGTCCGGGCGCTTTGCCGACTTACCTTTATTGTTAGGGCGCATAATTTACGGAAGCTTTCACTTTCTTTCATTGGGCGCATGATTTTACCGACGCAGATTACCTGGGCGCATAATTTACGGGCGCTTTCACTTTCTTTCTTTGGGCGCATAATTTATTTGGGCGCATGATTTTACCAACATAAACTATTTGGGCGCATGTCTCACGGGCGCTTTACCTTCTCCCTGGGCGCAATATTTTGGGCGCTACCTGTTGCGAACACACTTCGGGGCAAATTTCAATGATCATAAGGGCGCCAATCTTGAGAGCATTTTCATTGACACAAACAGGGGAAACATTACGAGGCGCTGAACACAACAAGCGCTTTGGTTACACGCACACATGCACAATCTAACACTACACTTGCTCCTCTAGGCGCTTCTCGTTGGCTTCAAAAAACCACCTCTTTGCCCCCCAACGGGGCGCAATACACACGCAGGTTCTGCGCGTTCCATGTTCTCTTTACCGGCTTGCCATCCAGATGCTCCAATTTAAATGTAGCCGCTCCAATGACCTCTCTCACACGATACGGGCCCTTCCACTTGGGAGCTATCTTGCCATCCTGAGCACATGGCCGAAAGTCTCTCTTGAGAACCAAGGCACCTTTGGTAATGCAATGCGGGCGCATTTTCCTGTTGTAGTACCGAGCCACCTGTCTTTTCATTTCCTCCAGGCGCACGGATGCTACCTCACGGCGCTCGTCAGAGAGGTCTAACTCAGGGACTCTGTCTTCTTCATTCTGGTCCGGATCATAATGCGCCACCCGATAACTTGGAATGCTCACTTCAACAGGGATTACCGCCTCACTACCATACGTCAGCGCAAAGGGCGTCTCTCCAGTGGCCACCTTGTATGTCGTTCGATGCGCCTAAAGAACACTTGGCAGCTCATCTACCCAACGCCCCTTTGCACCCAGAAGCCGAGTGTGGAGTCCATGAAGTATGCATTTGTTAGCCGCCTCTGCCTGACCATTAGCTTGAGGGTAGGCTATAGAGGAAAACCTCAGGATCACCCATGCGCATTGCAAAACTCCATAAACTGCTTACAGTCAAACTGTTTGCCATGATCGGTGACTATAGACTCCAGCAACCCGAATCGGGTGAAGATGTTCTTCCTTGTAAACTTGCGCACCTGGGCTTCCGTAATAGTTGCCAAGGGCTCAGCCTCCACCCACTTGGATAAGTAGTCGATGGCCACTATCAAATACTTCATTTGCCCGGGTGCCTTTGGAAAAGGGCCTAAAAGATCCATCCCCCACTGGGCAAAAGGCCAAGCACCCGTATTACCCTGCATTGGCGCAGCAGGTATATGTATGTCTTTTGCATGGACCTGACACTGATGGCAGGCGCCTGTATGGGCCTTGACATCCCTCCTCATTGTCGGCCAGTAGTACCCCTAGCGCAGCAATGTTTTTTCCAAACTGCGAGCCCCTGCATGCATGCCGCAAGTATCGCTGTGCACCTCCTTGAGTGCCATCTGCCCGTCCTCATCGCTCAAGCACCTTAGATATGCGCCTGAATGGGATCTCTTGTACAGACGCCCCTCGATTATGGAGCACCGGGCCGCCTTCCGCCTAAGTCGCCATGCCTCTTTTGGATCCTCCGGGGTGGTGCCTACAGTGAGGTATGCTACAATGGGCGCCATCCACCCATCGCCCACCGTGGAATTACCCATGGTTGCTACCACGTACTCTGGTGGGACTTCTTTTGTGACAATGACCTTCCTTTCTTCAGCGAAGTCTAAAGCCGTGGCCAACTTTGACAGCGCGTCTGCATGGGCGTTGTCTTCCCTCGGGATATGCACAAATTCTACCTCCCTGAACCAGGCGCCTTCTCTCCTAACCGCCTGAACATAGGCTTCCAAGGCTTCCTCATTCACGTCGAACGCCCCATTGAGCTGGTTGACAACCAGGGCTGAATCTGATTTAACACAAACATGTTGGGCGCCTAATTCACGCGCCATGCGAAGCCCCGCCACAACCGCTGCATACTCGGCGACATTGTTAGTCTTGAGCTCCGCAAATCGTAGGGCAACCTCGTGCATAACTCCATTGGGGATGATAATTACTATCCCTGCTCCAGCGCCCACTCGACTCGCCGCCCCGTCCACTTGAACTTGCCATGTATCCTCGTCGGTCCCTTCATCCTCCACTATTCCTTCTGCCACAAAATCAGCAAGCACCTGGGCTTTGATGGCAGGCCGAGATACATACCTGATATCAAACTCACTTAGTTGCACGGCCCATTTAACGAGGCGCCCCGCCACATCCATAGAGCCCAAGGTGGACTTGAGCGGTAGGTTAGTGAGTATGATAATGGCATGCGCCTGGAAGTACGGGCGCAACTTTGTGGCGGCTGTCAAGACCCCCAAGGCAGCCTTTTCAATAGGCGCGTATCGCTTCTCATGGGGGCCCATTGTCTTACTCACATAGTAGACTGGCCTCTCTTCTCCTGAAGGAGTCTCCCTTGATACCAATACTGCGCTAACCGCCGTGTCTGAGACCGCGATGTATAAATACAACACCTCACCAGCCTTGGGTGCTGTCATTACCGTGGGCGCCGCCAGGAGGCGCTTCAGCTCCTCAAATGCCTTGCTACACGCATCATCCCATTGGAAGCGGACTGCCTTCTTAAGCACCCTAAAGGAGGGAGCGGCCTTGTTAGCCGACCGGGGTATGAAGCGCCCCAACGCCGCCAGTCTCCCTGCCAAACCTTGTACCTCTTTGGGCGTTCTCGGCGGTGTGAGCTTGATGATGGCCTCCACCTGCTTTGGATTCGCCTAGGTGGTCCTCCCGCCTACGACTCTTGACTATCAAGTCGTCAACATACGCCTCCACATTCCGCCCAATTTGCCGTTGGAAGACTGTATTCACCATACGTTGATATGTGGCTCCTGCATTCTTTAGCCCAAATGCCATTACCCTATAGCAAAAGTTCCCAAAGGGCGTCATGAACACCGTCTTCAATCGGTCCTCCTCGGCCATGGGAATCTGATGGTACCCTGAAAACATGTCAAGAAAGCTAAGCATCTCATGGTAGGCGATGGCGTCCACCAATAAGTCAATGCGGGGCATCGGGTACGCATCCGTTGGACACGCCCTGTTGAGGCTTGTGAAATCAACACACATTCTCCAGTCTCCCCTCGGCTTTGGGACGAACACCACGTTGGATAGCCACGTCACGTAGGCTGCTTCTTCCACGAACCCGGCGTCCAGGAGCTTATCCACCTCCACTCTGAGCATAGCCTCCTTTTCTTGAGACAGATTGCTCCTCTTCTGCTGAACGAGCTTCTTCCCCCCTTCTACTGCCAACTTATGGACAGCCGTCTCAGGTGCCACCCCGGGCATTTCTTTGGCACTCCACGCAAATAACTCCGCGAACTCTCTCAACAAAGAAACCAACTTCTCAACCATTTCGGGAGGCGCCTGTACTGAAATCCTTATCTGCCTTTCCGGTCTGCTCTCATCTAAAGGAATCATCAACTCTTCATCGGCTGCCTCAGCCCTGGGCGCCTATTCAGTGGTAACCGTATTCACCCTTTGGCTTTTTCGCGGCCGCCCGCTTTTCAGTCGAGCATAAATTGGGGCGCCTCTTCCTCGGGCAATACCTACTCCCTGCGGCGCTATGAATTTCAACGTCTGATGGCACGTACACGCGACCCCATTGAACAAGGCTAAAAGGGGCCTGCCAAGTATCGCGTTGTAGGAAGACGGGCAATCCACAATCCCGAAATCAATAGCATGTGTGACCCGCTGCTCTTCGTCGCCCAGAGTGACGGGGAGGCGCACACGTCCGATAACCTTCGCGGGCGCCCCCGAGAACCCAACCAATACCGAATCTGATGGCCGTATCAAGTTGGGAGACAAATGCATGCGTGCTACTGTGTCCTTGAACAGCACATCCATGGAGCTCCCCGTATCTACAAGCATCCTCTTCACCGTGCACCCGGCTACTATCCCTTGAATTTCCAATGCTTCTAAGGAGGGTATCCCATAGGCTTCGTCAGGCGCCTGATTGAAGCTAATGCACACCCCCTCTTGCCTGTCTACCGACACCGCCTTCAGGCGCCTGCTAGCTTCCAGTTTATCCCTGAGATCCATCGTGCCCGTGATCGCTTCCACCGTAAGCCTTACTTTCTCGGGCGCCTTCTCTTGGTCGAGGTCAAATGGAGGCGGGGGTAGATCCTCCCTAGGTTCGGCCCTGGCCACATACGCCCTGTGCACCCTCTCTTCCGGTTTTTTGACGAACTCATTAAGCATGCCCCTGTCCACCAACCCTTGTAATTCAGTCTTCAGCTGATAACAATCAACCGTATTATGCCCCCCCCTCCCGATGGAAGTCGCAATATCGGTCCAAGTTCTGCGGATTGGGTTGCCCTCTCATAGGCCCCGGCCAACGCACATGGTAGCCCTTATCTTTCACATATTGCAACATGTTTTTCGGCGAATCGCTGAGCTCCATGAATTGGTTTGCCCTGGGCGCCGGGCGTCCCTGATCACTCCTCCTTGATCCGAACGACGTTCCTCCAAAGATAGGCCTGGACTCGGGCGCCTGCCTCCGTGCTCCGTCTCCTTCTTCACCCTTCGGGCAGCGCCTATCAGCGCGTCTTGCCACCAGCGTCTCCTCCAAAACTATAACCTTTTGCACCCTTCGATCCAAATCTTCCGTAGACACCACATCCCGTTTAGAAAGCGCCCGACAAAGCTCTTCACTCGTGGTGCATTCCTCCAGGAGGACCCCAAGCACCGGGGGGTGCACATCTCTTACTGCCATTGCCACTGGCATCCACCGCGCGTAGAACTCCCTCAAGGTTTCCCCCTCCTTTTGCTTAATCTTGAATAGGGCGCCTACAGTCAGTGTACGCCTCTTCCTGCTCGCGAACTTTGCCAAAAACATTGCCGAAAATTGCTCAAAGCACTCTATGCGCCCCTCTTCAATCTGATGGTACCAATCTAGGACCACGTCGGCGAAGGTTGATGGAAACACCTTACACAAGGTCGCGTCCGTACTGTTATACAGCTGCATTTTGGTGAAGTAGCTGTTCAGGTGATCATCCGGATCCGCTGTACCATCATAGGTAGGAAGTGGTGGAATGTTGGTACTGGCGGGCTCGGCGAGCACACTCCTGGCCAACGGTTGCCTCACCACAAACTGACGAGGTGGGCGCCCCTGCGTCCACACGTTTCTCTCTCCCTCCGAGTCTCCATAGTCAGCCAGGCGCCTCATGCTAGCTAGGCGCCTCAGCGAGCTGGACTCCCCTTCGGCCTCCATCGTCCGTTCCCTCTTCCTGGTCATTGGGCTAGGCGCCCCTTCCTTCAGCATCTCCACCTCCCTCCGTAGCATCCCAATAGCCTCATCTTGGTCAGCTATGATCTTGAACAACTCCTTCTTGGTGACTGAGGCCTCGTCTGAACTCAGGTGCTGGTCTTCACTCCCTTCACCCTCATCCCTACTAGGCGTTCGTTCTCTTACTTCTTGAGACGCCTCCCCCATAACATGCTCCTCGACTTCGCTCCCCCCTTCCTCCATTGAAACAAAGGCGCCCCTTCTAACAAGCTGCTATCTGATTGTCTGAACTCCTATGTCCGTTTCCCACAGACGGCGCCAATTTTTGAAGCCCCTTTGATTCACCCACTCCACTCCCGTACCGTACTCCTGACTTCACGGACCTTCCTGCACACACAGAGGTGGGCCTTGTGGCCCGTTAATCCTCCAACACTCAAGTCAGCCTCTTTCTTAGAGAGAGAAGTATTTTGCCAATAGAAATCTTTTTAGTGAGAGAAGCTAACCTCCATAAATGTTTGCCAACCACCATATTTATAACTGTTCATTACTCACCTTGGCTGGGCCGTACAAGCTTCCACGTCAGCACCGCATTTAATGTCTCAATTCAGGCGAGGCGCCTGTCTCGTCACTCCAACGGTAGGTATGCTCCAGGCGCCTTTAGTGTATGTAGACTTCCACCTTTGCACCCTCGGACGCCTCGACTAACCGTGCTTTTCTATGCGCACTTAACTAGGCTCTGGACTTTAGCTAACTGGGCTCCCGCTTCCATATCTTTGGGCTTCCCATGATCACTAGGGCCTCATTCTTCTCTGGGCTCCTTTAAGATCCATCTCCTGCATGTCTTGTTGACACGTCAGACTCCTCCCTTATGAATGCCCCCCAACAATTATGTATATTATCATTGTATTGTATTGTATATTATATTATATCTGATATATATTAATATATATACTTATTTTATCGGTACATGTATTATATTATTCATTACAACAGTGACGGAGTTAGGTTGAAATCGGGAAGAGTTATACCGCACAACTTTAAAATATAGGTAAAATTATATGTAAGGGATGTGTAGTTAATTGTCGGGGAATTGACAAACAAAATGATAGTAAAGAGTAAGATTTTTCATCCGTGAGTGAAATAAGTATGGGTACAATAGTATTTGACACCCAAGTTGTCGGTGTAGAGTGGCGACTACACTCATTGGAAAACTGAAAGTTTATTCTCAATTTAATGCGAATGAATTCTGAGATTATAAGAATACGTAAGAGGTATAGAAAGTGACAAAAAAAAAAAGGGATTTCCCCGTTAGTATCATTATTATTAACTCATTCACTATTGTATGAGGATCATTATTCACAAAAAAAAAAAAATACTTATCTCAATTTCATGCATAATAGTTCTCTAATTCTACGAATAAGTGATAAATATATTTTATTTTCCGAAAACGTACCATTATTATTAACTTCCCGCAAATAAGTAAATTGAGAATGAGGTATGCACTGAATAATGACTCATAGAAAATCTAAAAGTTTATTTTCAATTCAATGCGAATGAATTCTGAGATTCTTCGAATACATGTTACAAAAAGAATGGATTTCCCCATTACTACCATTATTATGAACTTCCCACATAACAAATTCATCGAGATTTGAGAATCTGGCATTACCATCTTTAATTAACAGACAGCAAATTTAAAGCTTGTATAAATATGTTAAGACCGAGGGGTTGCTGATTATTATATTGGAGTACTCTTCGATCGACCTAACTGAAGCAAAAGAGAGAATTACGATTTTCGTTTGAGTCCGTTCGTCGATACATCATGGAGGGCAAGTTTGTTGCGGCGGTGCTGGCGGTGCTGTTGCTGACCACCGCCGGGATGATGGGCTCTGCCTCTGCGCGGCGGGACGAGAAGTTCACCAAATGCTACAATGATTGCATGAAGGACTGCGGCAAGAGCGGCAGCTTGGAAGTTTGTATATCGTATTGCACGGATAAGTGTACACCACAATCTAGGCGTCGATTCCACAGGCAACAGCCGCCGGCCGGCGACATTATTAATCAATAAACTAAGTTATAGCTCAATGGTCTTTTCTTAAGTACGTATGTTGTTGTTTAACTTTGTCGATTCAAAAATAAAAATATAAATGGATCTCTCCTACGTGTTTTCCTTCTCTCTCTATATGAAACTGATGGAAATAGTTGTTTTTCATATTCTCCGGCGGGGGTGTGGTTTGGTTTCTCGGCGGCGGCGGCTGATATGAATGACTGATAAGGAACATCCAGTGATAGTAATTCCAAACTTGAGAATAACCTTTTCTGCTGCTTTTTATTATTATTATTTTCAGTGATGCTAATTAATTCTATGATTTATACAAATATACCTACCTTAAAAATTAAAATATATTAAAGGACTTTACGATTTTGACCTTCTTCACGTAAGTCTTTCTGCAAAGTTAGCCTATCCACGTAGGCCCATAAAACGCGCTCTCTCTCTCCATCGTCCCTCTACAAATTTTCCTTTTCAATCTCTTTATGCTATATGCTATATTGCTACAATTTAGAAGCTAATCAAATGGCTATGCCAAAACTGGAAAACTGCCTGAAAATGGCTAAGGCAGAAAACGTGACTGTGAAGCCTACTTTGGAGCTCAATTCGAGAAGCATGTATGAGATTCGATTCAGAAAATTTATACCACATGAAATTAGGTATGTTCTACTACAAAGACATGGGATTGGATGATTGAATGCTTACCCGAAAGGTTTCGAACGAAGAGCTCAAAGTTGCTACGAAGCCTGTTTTCTGGCAGCTTGTGCTTGATTAAAAATTACTCATGAGTAGTGTTTGTATTCTTGGAGCATTGGATCGAGAATCAATTAATTGTTTTTACTTCATCTCTAAACTAACGGTGTTTAATGGTACGTCAATAGTTATATAATATAACAAATAAATTATTTTGAAAATAAAGTAAAATATAAATAATAGTTAAGTTAGCAGTTTAACTAATTATATAATGTGTTATATGGGTTTTATACTAAGGAATGTGACATTATGTAGGGGACTTGGCCATAACAACTAGCAAGCCAACTTAGCTTGGACACAGTTTCTCTCTCTAAAGATAAATGGATTTTAAGGCCTCAAGGATGACATATTTGATTTGTGGCGATCATTGAACTGGTTTGCTATATGCTATGGTAAATTGTGATTTCATACTCGATGGATGACCGTAATTTAAATATTATGGGTACAACCAAAAACCAAATTAGGTGATTTATGTGCAATTATTAAATTTTAAGTGGTTAGCAAGCAATAAACTCAAGAGTTATACTCGGTGCAATCAACCCTAGGTCCAATTGTATGTAACTTTTTTTTAGAAACAATCGTCCGTAACATTATTATCACACTTAAAAACTGCAATCTATTTCTTATATAAGTGTATAACCGTATGCAAAAAGGTAATGAATAATACAAAAAGTTAACTAAAATTCGATTCATTTTTATCGTTTTAGGTATTGTTGGTTGTGGGGATCATAGCGGGCCACGTTCTGCAGCTGGCACTCTTTTGGCTCTCCAGGCATATAACCTGGAGGAGGATCGTCGGGGTCGACACGCTATCGACCGCCTACTTCACCTACACTGTCGTCTCCAGGCAGTTCGCCGATACACCTTGTTGGTTAGCGATGCACGGCCAGGCTCGGGACGTGGAGCTGCTGATGGAGCGTTGTGGCGCCCACGACATGGAGCTATACGATTGGAGGGCGCTCGCCAGGTTTCTGATCACCGGCTACATCCAAGACCCCCGATGAGGTCAGTTCCACGGACGTATCACCAGCTTCTGAGGAGACTTGATGTACTATCTAGATTCCTACCCTTGGACGTCTTCATCGACGTTGTTTTGTACGTCGTTCGAGAGGCGACGTATGAACATATGGCTCTCATGTTAGTTCCGGTACTTCTCCATCGCGGGGCTCGTGCTCTCTAGCGCAAGGCTGGTCGCGACGTCGATCTCCATGCACGCGACAGGGAAGTCAATGGCGCGATGCCGCAGATTGCTGCTCGTATGGGCCTCGTGGCAGCCGCGGGCTTGCTAGGACTTCTGAGCGCCACGACCTTTGTCGACACATAGGACCACATCGGGCATGTCGGTCGTGGGACCGCCTTCGCAGTGTCGTGCATCCGGATGCTAGCATTCGAGGCGGTGAGCGGGCTTGGGCCAAGGCCCCATCCTGTGGATGTATAGCCCCGAGGTGCTACTTCTCGTAGTACGAGCACCTAGTTTAGGTTTTTGTCTTTTGTCTAGGTTTGGTTGCAACATACTGTTAGGTTGGACTTTTCCTGAGTTGTACTTCACTTTTGACTGAGCCTGGTTGGGCTTCCTCGTAGCAGCTGAGTCGCGACCCTTTTTTCTTGTTCTCTTGTAGGTTTGTTAGGAGGACTACCTGTCGATTGCTTATGGTTGAGCCTGATTAGGTGACTTTTTTTTTTGCTTATTTTATGTCATATGTAAATGTATATTTTATATTATAATCATTTAGTAAGTGATTAATTTTATTCTCCATTATTATGCTAGTTATTTCCCTGATTTCAAGAATAGCTATAACTATAGAAAGTGATAAAAAATTTAATTTTCCCAATAGTTTCTCCACTATTAACTTCCCAATTGGACTTATTATTCATAGAAAAACATATACATTCTCAATTGTATAGTAATAGTTAATTCTAAGATTATGAGAACACATATATAATTATAGAAAGGGGTCAAATTTTAGATTTCCCCATTAGGCCATTACTATCATTTTGATTCACTTTCCCGTAAATAATTAATTGAGAATCAGGCATTACCATCTTTGAGCATATTGCTATGCTATATTTGCATACAACATATACAAATATGCAAGCTCTATCGAGCTTTATTCCATCTGCCAACCCGAAGCAAATTATAGAGTTAGGAATTTTCCGACGACGTTTGAGTCTGTTCTTTAATTGATATATATATTATGGAGCGAAAGTTTTTGACGACATTGCTGGCGGTGCTATTGCTGACCACCGCCGGGATGATGGGTTCTGCTTCGGCGGCTGACAATTTCAAACAATGCTACAACGCGTGCATGAAGGAATGCGGCCATAACGGTGGCTTGGAAGTTTGTGAGAGTGTTTTCCGGCGAGAAAACTCTTGTTGAATTGAGATGGATTGCACCTTTGACTTCTATGGGCAACGATTACTAAGACACGGCTCACACCTCTTCAAACAAAGTTCGAACGAGGGTATTTGATTGATGGTTTATGGGAACGAGATCTAAATTAAATTACTTCTACTCCTATGGAGGTTCGGCGAGAGCTCCAAACTACGAACTACATCTATGGATACATGATAGAGAAAAGGTAAAGGGTAAACTTGACATGTGTGTCAGAGTGTTGGTTTTGGAACCCTTGTCTCTGTCGACCCCTCTTCTTATTTATAGCCCCGAGGAGGTAACCGCCATAGAAAACCGCTTGTTGGATAACTGCTACAAAGAACCGCTCCTCCTTATTCGGTAGAAAACCGCCTCTTGGATAACTCCCAAAAAGAACTGCTCCCTGCTTCCTCGGAGTGGTGGTTACTCCTTCAACCGCCTAGGTGCCTCTCTTGGAACTGTCGTGGGTTTGGAGTGTAGCTTGCCTCGCCTGGTCTTGTTCTGAATCTCGTGCCATGCTAGTCTTTTGACGAGCATGTGGTGTCTCGCAAAGGGGGTCGTGGTCTTCTTGCCTCGCGGCCATGGACTTCTTACTCATGTCCATGGCCTTCTTGTCTTACGGACATGAACTTCTTACTCATGTCCATGGCCTTCTTGTCTTACGGCCATGAACTTCTTACTCATGTCCATGGCCTTCTTGTCTAACGATCATGGACCTCTTGAGACATATTCACTAGTGATATAATGCTCCATCACCACGCCCTTCTCATTCTTGTCCATGGCCACTCTTGTGAAGTGGCATGGACTTCTCAATCATGCACAAGGCCCCTCTCATGAGGCGGCATGGCCTTTCCATACTTAGTATTTTCAATCATTTCTAATGCTTCTTGCTTCGCGTCCATGGCCATCACATGACACGGCCATGGACCTCTTAATCATGCACATGACCCTTCTCGTGAGGCGGCATGACCTTCTCAGACTTAGTATATTTTGGATCATGAGGCGACGGCCTCCTCATTCGCGGCCATGGACTTCTCAGTCATGTCTGTGGCCCTTCTCGTGACACAGCATGGCCCTCTCATACTTAGTATCTTTTCTTGCGTCCATGCCCCTTCTCGTGAAGTGGCATGGACGTCTCATTGAAGTGGCATGTTCCTCTTCCAGACTTAGTTTATTTTTCAGTCATTAGGCCTTGGTCATGGGGAGGCATGGCCTCTTCGTGAAGTGGCATGCCCTTCTCGAGACTTCCTTGAGATGGCATGTGCTTCTAAATTCTAGATGGACATGTTTTTGTGTCGTTTGGTCTTGGTTATGAGGCGGCATGGCCCCCTCATTCATGGCCATGGACTTCTCATACTTAGAAATTTTCATGCCATCTCGTGGCATGGAATGGCATGGCATGACCTCTTACGAGAGGCCCATGTCCCTTATTGAATCATGTCCATGCTCATTAATGAGCTAGTGACTTGGGTTTAAAATCAATATCCATAAGGCCCAATTTAAATAACATTAATTGTTATAATGAGTGTGGCCTTATAAACTCCTTGATTATCTTGTAACTCACCAATGTGGTACAAGACAAAATTTATGGTGTAAACAGAGAGGTTGTGCGCGGACAGGTGTACACCGTCGACTAGTAGCAGTGAATGGCATGCGTCCATCGACGCCGGCCGGCGAGTATAATCAAAATGAGCGCTCTGGGGTCTTCTCTTCGTTAAATATGTTGTTGTTTTTTTCTTCTTCTTCTTTTTTGTCAAAATAGAATAATAAAAAGTAGTGACGCTTTTGTTTTAGTTATGCCAGCAGAAGAAGACCAAGAGTACTGAAGATTAATACATTCATAGAAAAACTGAAAACTTTGTTCTCAGTTTAATACGAATTAATTCTGAGATTCTAAGAATACATGTAGTTATAGAAAGTTACACAGAAGAAAGAAAAAAAAAAGATTTCACCATTACTATCCTAATTATTCGCATCCCACATAACCATTCGTTGAGATTTGAGACTCTGACAGCATTACCATCTTTTACCAGAGTGCTATACATGTATAAATATGTACGACTGACGAGTTGGTGATCGGAGTACTCAACCAAAATTGTCATCCCTTAATCAACTAAACTCTCTCTTTAGCGAGAGTCTAAGGCGGCGGAAACCCTAGGATTTTCCGGTACTTTTTATCGGTGTTACTTACCTCGTTGAAGAAGAATTATGTTTCGATCTAGTCTTTTGCAAAGTAAGCGTGTTG